AGGTAAGTAACGATTGTAAATCTAGTCCTGAGGGTACGAAACCCCGAATTTTGTATCATTCTATAATTTCTAGTGACACACATGCTGGGTGACGAGCGTGTGGGCGTGCACTGCTGGGAATTGTGACTTGGTATGTCCCGTAGCAACTATAAAGTTACATACTTTATTGAAACTATATGATACTTATATGTTTTAGAAAGAATTTCTGTAAATTTGGTTGAATGCCATGTTTGGGCCTTGTGCCAGTGCTGTTTGGACCCTTAAGGGCTTTTTCTTACTATCCTCTCATTGTTTTCGATTAAAAATCTATACTCAGTCATGTTTATACTTGTTTACCGCATAACTCAGTTTTATGACTCTATTTTGATACATATAAATATTTTGGGCCGAATGCCCTGTTTTACGGAAATGCCCGAGTGGCTTGAGAGGTTTATGACTGAGTGAGGTCGATGGCCTGATTTGTGAGGATATTTATGGGATTGTACTGCACGCCGCAGTATGTTGATATCGACTAAGGACCTGATTATGAGGATGAGTGTGGATCGGGGCTGCCCACCTGCAGCATACATTATTAATATAGCATGTGAGTTGTCCGTGCAGCACGTGAGTTGTCCGTACAGATTATAGCGCTTGGGTTGAAGGAGCCCCTCCGGAGTCTGTACACACCTCCAGTGAGCGCAGGTACCTACTGAGTGCGAGTGCCGAGTGCTGAGTGACTGGGAGGCATGAGTGATTGTGAGGTATGCCTGAGTGGCATGAGTGATTGTGAGGTATGCCGAGTGGCAAGAATGATTGTGAGGTATGCCCGAGTGGCCCGAGTGACTGTGAGGTTTGCTCGAGGGGCTGTATATGAGTGATGGTTTTCCTGAGGGGCTGTTTATGATTTCATCATTTTGCTCACCTTGTATTTTTTCTCTGTCTGAAAACTGTTGAAAAATATCTTTAAATGACTTTTACTGGAACTGGGTTAAACGAGATGTTTTGATTCAACTCCTGATTTTAAAAACATGTGATATTTTACTGAGATTTCCCGATATGAATGTTATATGCTTTATTGCTCGTCACTACTGCTCAGTCTTTATTTATTTTTGTTACTTACTGTGTTGGCGTACTCACGTTACTCCCTGCACCTTGTGTGCAGATTCAGGTGTAGCTGGACACGGTAGCGGCTATTGAGTGTTCTGGTTGCCGATTTTCTTGGAGATAGCAAGGTAGTTGTTTGGCGATCGCAGCCCCTGCTCTTTTCCCTCTCATCTTCCTCTAGTTGTATTTAGCTATTTTTTCAGGCTGAGTTAGTCTTGATATTGTTAGACAGATTGTAGTAGATGCTCATGACTAGTGACACCCCGATGTCAGGCTTTTCCTTTCGCACATTTATTTTGATTGGAACTCTTTTCCGAAGGTTTTTATGTTAAATAACATTGAAATTATTGGTTTATTTTGAAAATGAGTCGGCTTGCCTAATTCTACGATAGGCGCCATCACGACATGGGTTAGTTTGGGTCGTGACACACTTACAATAATATAACCAAAAACTATGTCTTGATTAAACAAATTATCTTTTTGTCTTCTACATTTAGGTTTGACTCTTAGCGCAAAGTAAACGGCAACTCCGAAAAGCTGCTATTATCTCCAAAAAAGAAAAATCATTGCAATTTCTTTGCAATTTATTGGTAGAAGAACACAACTGCAAGTAAAGTTAAATAACTTAACCAAAATTAATGTGTTCCGAACCTCACAATGGGAAAATCAAGAAGAGAACAGCGAGTCGTCTTCTCTTCTTCCGGCGCCATAAGCACGATTTGTGAAGTCCGCTGAAAGGACGATACATAAATCCGTCTCCAAAAAGCATATAAACAACGCTTTAGGAAAAAGGAAGTAAATATAAGACCAACGAATGATAACAATGGTTGATCTTTTGCTACAAATACTGGAAAAAAATGCTTCTCTTCTAATTTGTGATTGAACTTGCAAGAAAGCTTGAAATTTTGGTGACAGCATGTATTGATAACACAGGCCAAGATCGGTTTTCCTGTTAAAATAAATAAATCAAAAGAGCAAAAAGTGAAGAATATCAGATTTGAAGCAAGAATTTTTTATCGAATTAAAAAGAAAAAGGTACCCGTCTTCATGGAGGATGGAGGAAAAGTGGAACTCTCTTTTTATCCATGGAGACAAAAATGAGATATTAGCGTTTGAAATTGTTGTCATCAAAGAGGAAGAAGAAAGGGTTTTGGTAGAAATTAATGGCTATTACTACCAATGAAGGAAGAATGAAACGGTTGGGTTTCTCAATTAAACTAATCGGTAAATTAAAGAAGAAGAAATTTATTACTCGAATAAGGTAAATGAGAAAAAAGAAGAGAAAACTCAAAAAACGGAGAAANATATGTTGTTATCGATTATTATTTTTGGTAACACACGTGAATATTACCATTCCAATAAACCAGATTATTTACAAACTAAGAGCACCTCATATAGGCCTCAGAAAAAGAACAGCTTGTTACATATCTCTTGTAATAATCCTATGCATTTCCTAGTTCTCTTTGAGCCCCTAAGCATATCCATTCTTTCCCTAACTTCTAGTTTAATTTGTTGCACTATAATGTCTTTCTGTACAGTAATGTTTCTAAAAAATTTCAGTTCCTGGCTATCCAAATCATGTGATATATGTTGCATAGACTGCTACCATGATTTCCTTCTTGAATCTCTTCCAATGCTTCCTCTTTATCTGCAGTATATTTTGTACTATGTCATTTTGTCTGATTCTTAGACCACTCCAAATGTTAATCTCTTGTAGAACAGATTTGGACTATGAGCATTCACCAAATAAGTGTTGACTGATTTTTACTGGGGCTGTTCATTTGGATCAGATATCCGAAATCCGAACCGATCCGTTCAATTTTGAATTTTGGATTGGATCAGATTTCGGATTGTATTTATTAAAATTTTGGATTTCGGATCGCATTCGGATTGGTATAATTTTAATACGATCCGATCCGAAATCTGAAATTATTAGGGCATGTATAAATTCTAAACTTTAATTCGGATAATTAGTACTTCCATTACATTTTTCTCCAAGTTATTACCTTTACAATTGATGGATTTAGCTCTATTGGCACCATAGTACTCTCATAATTGTATAAACATGAATTTTTCTTACTGTACTGCCTCTTTTACAAAGAAAATATACATATGAGTTTGCAACTTTGAGGCATAATAATCCGATCCGAAATTCAAAAATCCGATCCGATCTAAACTTTAAAATCCGATCCGATCCGCTATTAATTCGGATCGGATTCGGATTGCATTTTCTAGAATCCGAAATCCAAAAATCGGATCCGAAATGTGTCAAATCCGATCCAATTCGATCCATGCACAGCCCTAATTTTTACTGTATTTCCTTCTCATAATCTACAAGTAGTGTTCTTCATGCAATCCCTAGTTTGCATAATCTCTTTTGCCAGCAACTTCCCTTGTACTGCCAGCAATATAAAAAATTTGTGTTTTGACATTAGAATAGAGTTCCATATAAGTTCGACCCCATCTATGGCATGCATGTTTCCTAGAGCCATTAGATAACAAATATAGACTATTTGTGGTGTCACGGCCCCAAATTTTCACCTTAGGATATCGTGATGACACCTAATTTTTAAGACTAGGTAAGCCTAACAAACAAGAGAATATGACAGAAATAACGATTAAACCATGAAATAAAGCTAATAAGTCTCATAATAATCTCAATATTGAATCATAGTTATAATATTTCCAAAACCCGGTGAGACTGAGCCATAAACTCTACATAAATGTACTAAAATCTCTAATACAATGCTGTCTTATAATGTGATAAACAATAATAAGGAAATGACGGAAGGTGACTTCGAGGCATGCGAGTGTCGGGAATGTATACCTTGAAATCTCCGGAAATAACTGAATGATCACTAGCATCCGGCACGAGTAGATGTACCTGGGTCTGCACAAAAATATGCAGAAGCGTAGCATGAGTACACCACAACGGTACCCAGTAAGTATCAGACTAACCTCGTCGGAGTAGTGACGAGGCCAGGTCAAGACTCCTACTAGGACTAGAAAACAAAACAGAGTATAGTATATTCAAATAATGAAAGTGAGAAAATGAATGACAATAAAGCAGTCCAATAATGTAAGCTAACAACGTAGTTTAAAGCAATAAAGGCAACAAGGAATGAACACATGAAAAGAACAAGGAATCATTGTGGACAAATACAAGTAAGACAACGAAGAAGTAACAAAACTATTCAACCAACAAGCCTTTTTAACATAGACAATACAACAAGAATCACAACCGAGGTGTCACGCCTCACATTCACATTTTACAATCTCAATCATAATCTTTCCTTATATCGCCGCGCGAGCCTTACATTTATATATTTTTGAAATCAATTTTTTCGAGATAGCTACACGCACTTTATCCTCCTTATGTCGTTGTGTGGATTTAAGCAATTCCCTTACTAGTAACACGCACATAAATCCCACCTTATGTCGTCGCATTCACATTAACCACTCCTATCCTTATACCGCCGCATGTGCATCAATATCACAACACAATAACAACTCGTACCACATGTGTCCATATGCCACAACTTGCCAAAATTAATAATACCAATGTTATCACAACATATAGCCTATGGCTCAGCCACAATGTGTACAAGAATCTCAATAATTACAAAATAAATCGAGAAATACTCAACAAGGAAAGATGTCTCAACATATGTAATTCGTTTATTGCGTTTTACTTGAATTACGTCGTAGTTTGTTGCAGACGTTCATTATATTATTATTATTTGGGATCGGGTTGCACACTGTAATGGTTATTGCTATTATTGAGTGATATTGGATTGCACATCGCAATGGTTGTTGGTATTGTGTTATGGGATCGGGTTGCACGCTGTAACAGATATTGGTATTACTGTTTGGGATCGGGTTACATACCACAACGATATTTATATGTATATTTGTGGATCAAGTTACGCGTCGCAACGAAGGAGACTCGTTATTGATATATAATTATGGATCGAGTTGCGCGTCACAACAGAGTATGTTGTGTTTTAGCTGTTAGTTATTGTAGAGTTTATTCCGCAACTATGATATGAGATTTGAGAACATGTTATTCTGGGGTCCTTCGGTAGTTGACTTTTTGGTCCATTTATATGAGTTTACTGCTTTATCCATATTTTTGTATTATGTTGTTATTATTCGTACATGTTTATTGTGAGTGTCTTGTCATAGCCTCATCACTATTTCGTCGAGGTTAGGCTCGATACTTACAGAGTACATGGGGTCGATTGTACTCATGCTACACTTCTGCACTTCTTGTGCAGATCTCGGTGTTGGTCCCAGCGATGCATATGAGAATTTTCGTCTGAATCGACTAGCTGAGGAGCTTTGAGATAGAGCTGTTGGTGTTCGCCGACCCTGAAGTCCCCTCTATTCTGTCTTTACTATTTACTTTTATTTCAAAAAATTATATTTCGTTCAGACTTTATTTGTAGTACTCTAGTTGCTCATGTATTCGTGACTCCAGCTTTCTAGGATATATTTTGACTGCAATACGTTTGTATTTATCACATCTATTTTAGAATATTGCAGTTTCGTATTATTAATGTTCTACTTTTAAATTACTAAAAATGGTTAATTAATTAGCTAACGTTGGCTTGCATAACAAGTGGATGTTAGGCACCATTACGGCCCCACGGTTGGGATTTCGGGTCTTGACATATTTGCTTTTGCGAAGACTGTCAACCTTAGCCCTCCTTCGCATTTGTGATAAGTACCTCACAAATGAGGTCACCACAAATGCAAATTGGTGCTTGTATTTGCGAGACCTTCAACACCAGCCCAAAAACCAGCAATCACTTAATTGTCTAAAACACTCCAAAACGAGTTTGAAACTCACCCGAGCCCCAGGGCTCCACGCCAAACATCCACACAGGTACATAAATATTATACGAAATTGCTCGTGAGCTCCAAACACCATAATAACATCCGGAAAGTATTCACAATTAAACTCAAGAATCGCTAGAATTATAACCAAGCGTCCGATTCTAACCAAACCATCTTATAATGACACCAAATTTTGCACACAAGTTCTAAACGACAAAACATACCTATTTCAAGCCCCGAAGCCAAAATTCGAGCACAATTTCCATGAAAGCAAATCATGGTCAAACTTAGAAAATTTATAAACCTTCAAATTTCCGACTTTGCCAATTAGAGTCAAAACCTTCTAGAAACACCCAAATGCAGATTCGGGCATACACCCAAGTCCAAAATAACCCTTCGAACCTAACAGAATCATCAAAACTCCGATCCGAGGTCAAATACATAAAATTCAAACTTCATCAACTCTTTCAACTTAAAGCTTCTAAATTGAGAATCATTCTTCCAAATCAAATACCGAAGCGCTCAAAAATTAAAATCGATCATACAATAAGTCATAAAATATCATATGAAGCTACACAAAGCCATAAACTACCGAACAAAATATAAATGCTCAAAACGACCGGTCGGATCGTTATATAAAGTCTATTAGAAGATTAAGTATCCAATAAGAAAAATCTTAATCATGTGAGAGGAAAGATATTCAATACCTTATGGATTGATACTCAAGATTGTTTGAATACCTTGTGCCTTGCTACTCAAGATGCTAGCTAGAACTAATTTAGTTTCAATACGAGTAGCATAATAGATTTAAGAGTTGAGATTTTGGGTTTTAATTACTTGTTGGCTTGTAAACGTTTTCATAATCATAAGGCCCAAGTAAACATTAATATTTTGTTATTTTTAAACTTAACATATAAAATTATTCAGTATGGTTAAGTATTTTTCGGTTTATTTTTGTCAAATCAAGAACTTACCCTAGTTCAGTATTGTTATAGATTTATAGAAAAATCTACGATTTTATTAAAATAAACCTAATAATCGATTCAGTATGGTACGGTTCGCTCGGTTTAATTAATTTTTAAAGAAATGCTGACATTCATATCTAAAACATCAAGGTAATTGGTAAAGTAATTCAAAATTGGAATATTCAGGTTATGTGTCAGCCCAAACATCTAAGTCACCATTTTAGCTCAACTATGCACTATTTACCCCACTAATGACTCACTTCTAACGGTCCTTACCTTACTAATACCCCTAAAAGTAGCTCCTCTCTCCTCCACTTTTTCAGAACACTGATAACTTCCGCTGCTAACAATAACTTTCTTCCTCGCTCATATTCCATAATTAGGTTGTCATTGTTCTTTCTTCTCTGTCTTTTTTTATTTCTTCAAGCAAAGTAAGTATACAATATAGCTTAGATTT